TAAGCATTCAAAGTCTGAAATTTGTTTTGAAAATGTATAAACTATCAAAAAATATCATGGAGAAAAAGCAATAAGGTAGGATTAACCCTTCCAGACATTAGAAAAACATCCTATAACATGTCTATAATCAAAATCACGCAAGACTGGCTCAAAACCAGAAATAAATGGGATAAGAGTCCGGAAATGAATACTCACTGCATATAAGAATACAGTAAGTGATAAACACTGAGTAAAACCACAGAAAGAAAAAAAGTAATTAATGTTTACAGGATAACAGGACCCTGCTATAGAGAAAAATTAGTTGAAACCCAACTTTCATTATATTTATGAATGTATAGATACAGATAAACCAGTATAATTTCCAGTGGGATATTTTTAACATGAAAAAAAAGTAAAACAGAAAATATTTATTCCATCTAGAGACAAGAGAATCTTTTCACTACTGAAGCAAAAGTTAAAATTATAAATATTTAAAAAATGCTCAGGCACAATTTTTTTTAAGTTTTTAACTCCTTTGCTACAAAAACCATAGAAAATGAGACAAAAGGCAAAACAATGATATAGGGGGAAAACTTATAATCATACAAATAACAGATAAAACTTGTACCTAGATACTTCACACCCATTAGGACGGCTAGTATGGGAAAAACAAAACAAAACAAAAAAACCAGAAAAAAACAAGTGTTGGCAAGGATATTAAAAAGTTGGAATGCTCATTCACTGCTGGTGGGAAAAGACCGTACAGCTGTTCTGGAAAACAGTTCGAGGGTTCCTCAAACGCTAAACATAGAATTACCCTATGACCCATCAACTCTACTCCAAGGTATACAGCCAAAAGAATTGAAAGAACACACTCAAACAGATACTTGGACACCCATGTTCACAGCAGCATTCACAATAGCCAAGGAGTGGACACAACCCAAATGTCTATCAACAGATGAATGGATAAATTAAACATGGTAAAAACATACAAAAGAATATTATTCAGCCTGAAAAAGGAATGAAACCCTGACCCATGCTACAACGTGGATGAATCTTGAAAACATTATGCTAAGTGAAATAAGCCACGGACAAAAGGTACCTAGAATAAGCAAATTCATACAGACATAAAGCAGAACGAAGGTTACCAGGGGCTGGGGCTGGGGGGTAGGAGGAAGGGAGAATGTTTTTGTGTAAAAGGTACAGAGTTTCAGTTTGGGATGATGAAAAGGTTCTGGAAATGGATAGTGGTAAAGTTGCACGACCCTGTGAATGTACTCAATGCTACTGAATCATACACTTAAAAATGGTTTATATGGTAAATTTTATGTTATGCGCATTTTACCACAATTTTATTAAAAACCTGTACTTAGACGATATAAATCTCTAAAATAAATATCTATAACTCCATGAGATAAATAACTGAACACCATGAAAAAAGTCGCTTAAGAGAAAAGCAACCGATAATTGTAGAAATGCAATGAGGTTAAACGATGAGGTGGCACCCAATACCTGTTAGCAAAATGACAAACCAGTATTTACAAGGTCAAGGGAAAAATAAACCTCATATGCCATGAGGAAAATTTTACAGTGCCTTGGGATGTATGATTATTTCAAACCTTTTGGAAGGCACTCTGGTAACACACTTTAGATTTTAAAAATTTGCATCCTTTGACTCAAGAACTCCATTCTGGAAGAAACAAAGTTGTATGCAAAGAATGTTTACATCAGGATTTTGTTTTACAAAAGGGAAATACACAAGGACTGCAAAATGGTTATATGGGTTATGGCATATTAACTGTGAAATAGTATGAGGCCACTAAAAAAAGGTAAACAAGAAGACCACTGATACATGAACACGTATAACAAAAATAATGAAATGGAAAAAAGAATATCTATTCACGCTGCATAATTATAACCATATGAAATTATTCTTAAAGACAAAAGCTAACTGAGAGCTTACTATGTCCCAGGCACTGTGCTAGACATGCTACATGTTTTATATAATTTATTCCTTATAACAACGCTATGAGATATATAATCTTGTCCTAATTTTATTAATGAGAAAACTAAGGCCCAACTAGTCCCTGGGTCTTACACACGTGCTATACACCGGGGGCAGAATCTGACTGCAGTCAATGTGACTCCCCACCTTACATGCATGGAAATCACATTTAAGGGAGGAATGAGTGAGAGATGTAATTTTTTTGGGGGGGGGGGGGCGGGTAAAGTTTTCAAGAAAAAGTTAGAAAGTAAATCATTGCACACAAGTCTCAATAAAGTGCTATACCATTAGCCTAGTCCTTGATTCCACCACTTCTAAAATTCAGAGATATAATATTTATACAGACAGACCGCCATTCATTTTCTTTTTATAAAAACGGATACTTTACAGTTGTGATGTGAAAAAAACACCTGGAAGTCAGCTCCGTCTTTGCCCCAAATGTCTTTTTCATGCATAGCTGCAGAGCACAGCCAAAAAGGCTTGCTAAATAAATCTTGTATGTCTCTGGAAACGTTTCCTGGAAGCACGGCTCTCTACCACCACCATTTTGGAACTGGTCCTAGCAGTTCGAACAGCGGTATATGGAGATGTCCATATACCTGTATGTCCATACAGGGATGGAGATGTCCTCAATCAGCGCCTCAACCCCCTTCTAGTTTTACGCTACCAAAGAGGGGCGCTTCTGTCTGCTCCCCAAAGGAAAGGTGAGATCTTTCTGTACCCCTTGGATAGACATTAAAAAGGCTACAAAGCCCAGGCTGGCTGTGAGCCAAATGTGAACCGTCATCAGAGCAGAAAGGAAACAAGATAGGGGCCAAGGCCTGTATTTTAACAGGCAGAAATCCCTAACATTCAATGACTGTCCTTCACAGACATGTTTGGGAACAGTTTGGGCATTCAGACACAGCACCATAAGACATCTCCAAGGCAGTTTGGGGTTACAGATATTTGGCTTTTGGAAGACGTGGCTGGCACATGCCTCATCTGCTGAAATACATAATGTTCCTGGAGATAAGGACAATACACAAAGGTACCTAAAAAGAGTAGGGAAAACACAGACCTGTTTAAATGTCCAAGGAGAGTTACTCAAAGACCATCACCACAGAAAGGCAATTTACCCACAGGTGTTTTTTGGGGGGTTTTTTTGGGGGGGGGGGTTTGGGGGGTTTTTGGCTGTGCCACACAGCATGTGGGATCTTAGTTCCCCAGCCCGGGATCGAAGCTGCGCCCCCTGCATTGGAGGCGTGCAGTCCCAACCACAGGACAACCCGGGAAGTCCTACCCATAGTTTTTGTAAGACAAGCAGAGATGGCTGGGGGAGACCAGCATCACAACGATGCAGGCCCCTGGAGGAACAAAGTGGCTGGTATCACGCCTGTGGCATCCAGGAAACAACTGGTTCCAAAGCCAGTTCCCCTTGCCCGTTTGTGAACACCGGCCCTCATCTATGAGTGGCTTTTTTATTTCATCACGCCACATGGCTTGTGGGATCTTAGTTCCCGGACCAGGGGTTTAACCTGGGCCCTGGCAGTGAAAGAGCCAAGTCCTAACCACTGGACCACCAGGGAATTCCCACAAGTGACTTATTTGCTTAAGAGAAACATGTTTACTGGTGCTCGCGGAGCTGCACACAGTATTCTGTAACGCAGTCCACGGCCCCCACCTCGCTGTCCCCACCACACAAACGGGAAGCCAGGCCACCCCTGGCTTCTGTAACTGGCAGTTCCAGCACTTGCACACTGTGGTTGGCAAAGGAGCATCAGGCAGGCTGAGACAGCTACCACTTATGCCCCTCACCTCCAGCTCACCCTCGTCCTCAAGCCTCGGGGCGAGCTCACTAACTCAATTCCTGCAGGCGGGTCCCAAACTCCAGGGAGAAAGTCAGGCCACTGCACACACAGTGAGCCTTGCGGGACACAGGCCACTCCACCCTGCCGTCTGCCGCAGACGACAGTATAGCCGAGCACCCTGAGCTATCAAAGGGGCTCTGCAGCCCTCATGCAGTGCTGCAAGAGAACTAAAAGTCATTAGAAAGTAACCCCAATCGACTTCTCCTGCTCAATAAGTTTGTCACACAAAGGGCAGGAACAGTACCATGGTAACGCTTATGTGAAGAAGCTGTGCTGCTCTGAACTTGCCGTCCTTCCTGCCACACCTCTGCTATCACGAGCATCTACAAAATTATTTCAGTGTCTCTTACTGATTTAAACACTTGCATTTCCCCCACCTACAGCTTACCAAAGCAAACACCCGTGTCCCTTCCCAACTGCCCCAAATTAAGACAAATTACCAAATGACCAGCAGTCACAAAAGATATGACAATCTTCAAGATGTTTAGGAAAAAAACCTTTTTTTGGTCCCTTCCCCTTTTTAATTCAACACTGTCTGGATGAGACAGAAGGAAAACACGACAAAAATGGATTTGTTCTGAAATAGGTCCTTCTCTTCCCACTTATGGGGAAGCAGGATCAAGTGCAGAGAGGTTCCATGTGGATGTGGAAGCGCTATCTGCTCTCAAATGGACCAAATACTCTCAGTGGAACAGCCACAGGAGGCCCCCCAGTGGCAGCTGGGCTTTGCTCCTGGTCCGGCATCCCAACCTGCTCAACAGTGCTGCCATCTTCTCTAAGCCAGCTCTTCACAACAATACTTAGTCTTCTTTCTCCCTAGTCTGATTAGTCCCTTAAATTAAGGAAATGAAAAAACGTGTCATGTGTAAGTAAGATATCGCCCCCCTCGCAAAGAAATCCAATGTTGATAAGAAATGAATTTAAATATCAATACTTTTCATTTCTGTACAAAGGAAGATCTCAGACGAGCACAGTCATGTGGAGAATAACCTTGGCTGTACACACGATGCCAGAGAGAAAAGAAGACGGGTCACGGAAAGACTGATGGATTCAAATTCCATCTTAGCGTGGGAGTCTTCTCTCGCCCACCCTGCATCCCGACTCCATGTGAGAACAAGTTAGAGGCCATGCTTTAGTCTGGGCTTGTGCTCTGCACTGTCACTCACCTGTGCCATTGGCCGAGCCACTGTGGCTTGGGTTCTTGAGGGGCTGATGCTGCCGGCTGCTAGCACCGGGGCTCTGCTCACCAGTTGCTGTTCTGGCTGAACCACCTGAATGTCTGTGTGTCCTGGGGGTTCAAAATATAAAGCAGACAGATATAAGTCACTGTGAAAAAGACAGAGGTGTGCCCCACCTAAGTCACTGTATTCCCTCTCTTGCTATTTATGGGAAATAAGCCCCGTAATCGTCCTTCTGGTCTTTGACTCGACAGAAGCTGGCCCTGAATGGAGAGACCCATGTAAGCTTCCTTCTTGGTAAAAGCACAGAAGGCAACTTTTGGTAAACTTTTCCATTTGAAGTAAACAAATCCAGAGTGAATTTCCCCCACATCTGAAATAACTGGCAAAATATCCCGTGACCATCACATTATTTTTATTGGGCTTGGATGTAAGAAATAAACAAGAATCACTGCACAGGCTACAGATGACATGTTTCTCCCATTGGCCAAAAAAGAGCCCAAAACTTATCCAAATCCATATTCTCTATGGCTAGAAACATGCTTGCCTTGGGAATAAAAGTCAAGGGGCATTAGACAACTTCAACCAATGTGTATGTTGACATGTTTTATCTAGGAAAGGTGATTCAACATCCATGCAAGTAAATGAGGAACAAATGCAGAGAGGGATCTGTACCGCAAGGAAAATGGTGGAATACAGCAGCAGAGGCTCGATCTAACATCTTCGGAGGACACAAGGCAACAGGCAGTACACGTTCTCACGGTCCTGTGGTAGCTTGATTTTGTTCACTTGATGGAAATGTCTAAGCTTCCCTGCCTTTCTCAGTTTTGTCAAAGGAGATTATTCTACTTCCTACTCGTTATATACTACTTTTCAACAGTGAGATGATTTAAGTACTACCCAGTGAAGAAAAGACCACCCCTCTCCAGGCAGAGAAACAGAGATCCAGAGAACAATTTACAACCACGGGACTCGGGGCAGTGACAATACCACCAACAATAAACGTGAAAACAATGGCTATGGAAGAATTTAATATTCATTGAGCTGGAATATTATGTTCCAGGCACCTGTGGCGTACTGTGCACTTTGCATATATTATCTCATTTAACCTGGCAATGCTAGAGGTGGCTCACTATTATTATGCTCATTTTACAGGTGAAAACAGACACCGAGAAAGTGAGCAATGGAGCAAAGACTCGAATCCAGGTGCTCTAAGGTCAAGAGCCCACGCTCTCTGGTTGGAGGCTGGGGGTGGGAAGCCTGGACTTAAGCTGAATCCCTTCCAGGTTATTCACTGGTCATTTGGTCAATGGCGAGACGAAGACCTCTGATAGAAAGCTCCCAGAAATAGTCACAAATGTAGAAAATAAACTTATAGTTACCAGGCGATAAGCAGGGGAAGGGATAAATTGGAAGACTGGGATTGACACATACACACTACTATATATAAAATAGATAACTAATAAGGACCTACTGTATAATAGCACAGGGAACTCAACTCAATACCCTGTAATGGCCTATATGGGAAAAGAATCTAAAAAAGAGTGGATAGGGACTTCCCTCGTGGTCCAGTGGTTAAGACTTCACCTTCCAATGCAGGGGGTGCGGGTTCGATCCCTGGTCAGGGAGCTAAGATCCCACACGCCTCGGGACCAAAAAACCAAAACATAAAACAGAAACAATATTGTAAGAAATTCAATAAAGACTTTTAAAATGGTCCACATCAAAAATCTTAAAAAAATAAAAAAGAGTGCATATATGTATAACAGATTCACTTTGCTGTACACCCGAAACTAACACAACTTTGTAAATCAACTATACCCCAATAAAAAATTTTTTAAAAATAAACAACAACAATAAGAAAGAAAGAAAGAAAAAAGAAAGAAAGAATGAAAGAAAAAAAGAAAGGAAGGAAGAAAGGAAGGAAGAAAGAAAGCTCCCCCGACTGGGAGGCTCCATACCCACCAGAACATCTCTGCTGGTGAGACATTCTGGTCCAGTATGTTGGGACAAACTTACAGCACAACAAACTCAGAGATTCCTAGAGGAATAAGAAGTGCCTCCACTGACTACCTTCTCCAACAAGATGAGTATAAACCAAAATGTTAACAGTGATTATCTTTGGACGTTGGGAATATGGATGCCTTTAGTGCTTCCTTTTGTGCTTTTCTGGGTTTTTCTGATTTTCTTCATTAAGCATGTCTACTTTTGAGCAAGGAAGAAACACAATTATTTAAAAAGAAAAAAAAAAGTTTTTTCTTGGGGCCAAAACTACAAAAAAGAAAAAAAAAGAAGAAGAAAAAGAAACATAGCAAACCCTGGAGTCCTTTGTACCTAAGGCTGCGTGGCACTTAAAAATGGATGGAGAGAGTACGACTGAGCTGTGGAAATAAAGATTTAATTTGGACTCTCTTTTTCCGTCTTATTTTTCCCTGAGCTAATTTCATAAATCAAAGCTGTCAATCACACCTCAGTCAAGAAAAATATCTCAGAGTCCCCACTCCATGGGAAGGAATATTAATATTTAGCATTTCACCATAAGTCCTCTTCGAAAGCAGAATGAGTGCAGACTGTTCCAAAGGGAAAGATGGTCATTAGCCACTGGTGAATGTGCGTATATGTGTTGAGGGCAGAGAGCTTGAGAGAGATCAAATTGGTTAATAGAAGGTTTATTTCAGACAAGAATCCCCTTAAAAGGACAAAGGAAGGGCTTCCCTGATGGCGCAGTGGTTAAGAATCCGCCTGCCAAGGCAGGGAACACAGGTTCGAGCCTTGGTCCGGGAAGATCCCACATGCCGCGGAGCAACTAAGCCCATGCGCCACAGCTACTGAGCCTGCGCTCTACAGCCTGCAAGCCACAAATACTGAGCCCGCATGACACAACTACTGAAGCCCGCGTGCCTAGAGCCCATGCTCCGCAACAAGAGAAGCCACTGCAATGAGAAGCCCGTGCACCGCAGCAAAGAGTAGGCCCCGCTCGCTGCAACTAGAGAAAGCCCGCACGCAGCAACAAAGACCCAGTGCAGCCAAAAATAAATAAATTAATTAAAAAAAAAAAAAAGGACAAAAGAAAAAAAGCCTCTGTGATTTTGTACTCACAGCCCACAGCAGAGGGCTCACCCCTCTGGGCGCAGCAGGCCACAGGGCAGGGGGTCGGGGGGCAGCATAGAAAATGCGACACTCATTGTGTCGCACGCACAGGCTCTGACAGGCCTGTGATTCCTTCTAAGTCCTGGGCTCCTTGTCCCTCTGCAGAGCAGCTGGGCGTGACAACAGGGTGGGTCCCATTACTCTCCTAGCCCCTCCCTCCCTTCCCCAAAGGGGCGTGTGGTCAGAGTTGAGAGAGAATACTTTCAGAAATGTTCAACCACTAATGACAGCAGCACACCCTGAATGACAGGCTGGTGCAGAGCCGGGATTAGCCTGTAAGCCAGGGGCAGCTGGGACCACTTTGTGTGAATTGCCACGTCCCTGCCCGTGGCCCACGGCCACCCAGCTACCCACCCACCCCATACACACACACACACACACAAACACCCTTCCCCCAGATTCTTCTCTTGCCCTAAATCTGGACCTTCCACTGTTCCCCTCTTGAATTACCTTTAAAATAAGACTCTTAGAAGGAAGAGAAGGCCTCAATGTTTGAGGACAATCTTCTCTTCAGCAGTTTTCTCTCTGGGAGGTCACTCAACCCTTAAAAGATGGGACTGTGTTGTGATTAAAAGCTGGCCCAAAAGCTGAAACCACACACCGTAAGCCAAAATAGTACCAGGACACAAGCGGGGTGATGGGGTGGAGATGAGCTGGGCCCCACCACAGGCAGCCTGGCTTCGGCTCTGCCAATGACTTCAACCTTGGCCTGATCCCTACACCACCTTGGGGGTGGGAGGGAGGAGGTATGCAGCCCCTGGGGCAGTCAGAAGAAGGCAGAACGGCAAAATTCCACGAATGGTTTTAAGTCACCTAGTTACAGAGATTCAGCTCTCACTACACCACGTGCCTCTCAAAATGCTGGTGTGAAGTTACCTAAGTTCCTCCCTCAGATCAGAAACTAAGACCCCCCTAAGGAATGCCAGTCAAGGTCAGGGCCCTGGGATTCTCTCTCCACTCTGCAGAAAGAGAACTGATGCAGGTGAGGTCCCCAGGAGAGGGCTCGTGGCTGTCCCTTGCCATTCAAGCTTTGACATTCATAGCACTGGCCTCAGTCCTCAGCTGACCCTGAGAGCCACAGCCTCCAATGTTGTGGGACACCCTGCATTGCTCTGCATGAAGGCCAGAGAATTGCATTCAATCATTATCTTCTGAGCACTAGGCCCTGTTCTAGGGCTAGCAACAAAACAGAAAGAGTCGCTGATCTCAAGGAGCTTACATCTTAGTGGAAATGCAGTGATTTGTACTTCTGCTCAGAAAAATTTGCATCACACCCTACAATGCCAGTGTGTGAGAGAGCCACTTGTCTAGTGAGTGAGCCTGCCTGATAACTTGGCATTGTCACCCAGTGCATCTTTGTTGATCATCACATATGTAATAGTTTATGTGGGGTAATTAAACAAAACAAAACTTTGTTTAAATAAAAAAGCCAGCCCTAGCATCAGTAATGCAAATGAAAACAAAATGAAGAGTCAAAAAAAGTGATGGCTCACAGACACGAAAACAAAAATTTTTGCTAAATTAAAAAATGAAATTCTAAATTTGGTGGTCACTCAGAATTTGGGATTGATAAATCTATCATATCCTTTATGAGGAAATGGATTTAAAAAGTAGTCGGTGGCTTCATCAAAATTTAAAACTCCTGCTCTTCCAAAGACACTATCAAGAAAATGAAAAGACAGTCCCTAGACTGGGAAAAATCATTTGCAAGATACCTATCTGATAAAGGATTTATTTCTAGAAAAAAAACCTCTCAAAACTCAATAATAAAAAGAATAAACCAATAAAAATAATCAAAAGATTTTAAAAGAGAAGATCTACAAACAGCAAATAAGCACATGAAAGATGCTCAACATCATTAGTCATTAGGGAAATACAAATTAAAACGACAATGAGGTACCATCACACAACTGGTAGAAGGGACAAAGTAAAAACAAAACAAAACAAATCTAAAAAATCA